CTAGCCTTTACGATATTTATTAGACATAGATATGAAACATTTCAGAACTAGATAACAGCAACGCGAGGTGGAGCAAATCCCATTGAACTTTTCATCTCAAAATCGTTCAACTACTTTTCAAGTTTTAGTAAAAAAGTAAAATAAGACGAAAAATTTCGAACGCAATGCGTGACATATACGTAATTCGCGTGAAAAGTCCGAACAAAATGCGTATGTTTTTTTTTCGGCGTTCGTATTTTTGCTGTGTAGACGAACTTTTTTAGAAATTTTTCTACTGAAACATTTTTGCTTGACAATTACCAGGTAAAATGCGTATTTGCGTGCACAGGGAGCTCAAGTTGGAACTATACGTAATCATTTAGTAAACTGGACTGGGAAATCAGAGGTCGAAGGGTTTTTCAATAAAATATATTCCAAAAATTCTTGACACCCAGTAAGTCGTAGGGTCGAAGGGTCGTAGGTCGGAGGGTTTTTAGTACATTCCATAAAAATGTGATATGTCTGTGAAATTTCTGTTTAAAATGTCAAAAAGTGGAATTTATTGCTTTTTTATTGCTAAAGAAGCATAGCATCATATGGAAAAAGTAAAAATAATTGTCTCACGCCACTACAATGTAGCTATCTTGTAATGTTGACCCAATAAGAAAAGTTTGATCCATAATTCTTTCCAAATAATGTGCTATCACATTTGTGACACTTGTTTCTTCTTAACAACACAATTTTTTAAATGCTATTTTATTTAATGAATTAGTAATTTTGTACCTTTCACTCAATCTTTATGTATACAAATCTTTATTTCCTATGAAGTGGAAAAAACTGTGTTATATAGCATTTGGTTATTTTAACATTCAAATTGTTTTTTACTGAAATGGCTAAAATATGATGAAAGTACTTCAAATATTTTGAAACTTTACATTGGGGCTTTAAGATGTTTAACATTGTTTACATTGAACTGCTTTGCCTGTGCAAACAATTTTATGAACTTTTTTCAAAATAAATCTGTAGAATAATCCGCCTGTTTGCTTACATGTAATTGACAAACTTGACTGATATCCCCTTCTGATAATATTGTTATCAGTTCTGAATAGAGGAAACCCTAACTGCTAATGATAATCTTAGAATATTTTAATCTAAAAAACAAATCATTTTGATTTTGTAATACTCGTAGATACCATTTATGGTTTAATCTATTGGAGCTCTGAAGCAGATGAATACATTTTACATATTGCTTTCTTATACTAAGACAGCATTGCCCACTTGTAGAATATTTTTAATGTGTACTCTATACTTCAGATGTACATGTATTGATCGTTTGTTTAAAAATTTGAAGTTGAAAGTTCTAAAGGTTTAAGGTCCATGTGCAGTATTTTAGACAGTCATATCTTTCACCATGAGTACTTTCTGGCCATAAATATATGTTTTTTATTAAAACAATATGTTTTCTTTCATGTGAAGTCCCAATGATAGTAAAATATCAATCCAACTCTCTGAAAATTATGGATAAAGGCCCCACCTTGGCACTTTTTAAAAAATGTTAGGCTTATTTTCTAAAAAGAATATCTTGTTTTTCTCAATTTAAACATATCGAAAGTTTCTTCTACACAACATTAACAATTTCTGAAAAGGGGATGCGAATTGAAATGCGTGCTATTTTCCCATAGGGAAACCTCGTGCTATCCATTGTTTTCAGCATCATTTTGGTCATCGAAAATTGATATTATCAAAACTGGACTTTCAATACCATTATGTTTTGAAGATGTTTTAGACCCCTTGTGGAACAATCCTGTCATGCAATAAAAATCAGAAAAAGGAGATCCTCTTTTGAGTAAATAGGTTCAATATTTTGAAAAAAATGTTGACATGGGGTACATATTCATAATTTTTCGAATTGTTCAATTGATATTTTTATCATCTTCACTTGAAAGAAAACATATTGTTTTAATAAAAACCACTGTATTTATGCCCAGAAAGTACTCATGGTGAAAGATTTGACTGTCTAAAATCACTTGCCATACTGCATGTGGTCTTTTGAAGGTGACATTTACAGCATAATGAATTCCTACCATCTTCAAATTGATACCTAAAACCTGATGTAAAAATGTTACCTTCAGAAAGTACATGTACACTGATACATTGTATAATGTACAGGGTGTTTCATAATGACCGTCCCCCCATCCACAGGCAATCCTAGATCCCATGGCCCTATAATTTATATACCATAATAAAGCTAATTCAATTCTGGACTTGTCTGCCAAATATTAGCATGCCCGACCTTTTGGAACATAGTTTGTGAAATTATATTTGATTGTCACTATCTTCTCAATTTACATGATTTCTGGCTAATATTCCTGGTGGATTTAAAGAGAGGAGCGGATCGCTATAATATAATCTATTCTATCATCTAGTGCTCTCTGGGCATTTCTTTGAAATATTCAATGTTTTGTTTTAAAATGGGTACCTTTTGCAGAGATATGTAGCAAGTTGTAAAAACTGTTGAGCTTAATCAAGGTTGTTTCAATAATTCCAGAATTGAACAAGCTTTCATATGATATATAAAATATGGGGATTGGGGGTATGCTATTTAAGATTGGTGGTTGATGGGGGACAGTCAGTATGAAACACCCTGTAGAGATAGACGGTGCAGGGTATGAGGCATATTTACATATAATGTTTACCTTTATTTCTTATTATTTTTTGTTAACCTCTGTTTATGATTTTAAACATGTTTTATTAGCCTTCTGCAATCTTTACTGAGAATTGTCTTTGTAGTAGCTACATTAGGCCCCTGGGCATTAGGCATACATTATCATATAAAAAAGGAATAAACCTAAAATGTATTAAAGCAAGAGAATTAGCAAGTAAAATGTCACTTCAAAAATGTAAACTTTACTTAAAGATCTAATAGCAAAGGTTTTGCAAAAATAAATCAATGTAGTATAAAACAAATGTATGTATTATGAAGAAATAAATATATAATGAAAAAAATAGATATGTGTTTGTAATATTGGTATAAACTTAAGATTAAAAAGTGTCACTATCTCTTTCATTTTTCAACAAATATAGGCTCACGTGACATGTGACGCGGGGCAGTCAATTTTGATCTATCGTAGACCATATCAGTATCAAATTACTGATATTTCAACCTCGTCTTGCGAGGCCATTTTGATTTGAAACATCTTGAATTTGGTGTCAAAATGAAGCTGGTCACGCCCACTTTCAGAGTTATCAATGAATCATTTACTACGACTACTATATTCATTTAGGAGGCGTGTAAAGTTAACCAATCAGAAAGACAATTGTTCCATATATGGTAGTTCATTAACATATTCAGTGTTTACTACTGCTTTTCACGTCATGACAACACGAGTAGTAACCAATCAAGATGCCGTATTTTATCACGTGAGTTCAGAGTGACACGCACGCGACATGTTGTCTGGGGTGATCGCGATGTTGAACAATTTCTTCTCGGAATTTGTCCAGAGAAATCAGCGATTCTAAATTAAGGTTGGATCTGCCATTTTTTCCTGTACAAGTTATAACTTATCTCTATCGAATCCTAAAGTTTTGGAAGAAGATATGAAGCGTAGGTTTAAAAACGAAGCGATTAATTTGACGATCTGATTTTGCAATTTGCAATGGCCAATTTACTGCAAGTCCAGTGCATGTATTTGACAAGAGATAGCGCCAAGTCTGGTATCTAAATGCTTGTTAAGCCACTCAAAAACAAGATCCATATTTTCTAAATTTGATAACTTTGCAGAAAACCTGTTTTCATAATCTGTTTTCCGGGTCTAGATTCAAACTGAGTATGATAATAGGATCGCTGGAATCTTCAGTCAATGGCAACGGGTCTTCATTCCAGAACTCACATTTTTAGTTGATTCTCCGTCATAGTTCTTGTTTAAAGTCCCCATATCTGCTCTCTTACTGCCATACTTGCACACATTTCCCCTCCTTAAATTGTCTTCATTCAAATTACACCCTCTCGCCGATTTATATAGTCATTTCCCAGAACCCGGGAGTCAGAATCGCTGATGTTTGCCATATTGAACATATTATATGTACTGTAATATCTGTACATTGACTGCTACGCGTAATGGTCACGTGACTAGCGCGATACAGGAAAAATGGGGAATTTCAAAACAACAATTTTTGGGCACTTTTATTGCAAATTTCGGGTATTTATAAAGTGTTTGTGGTATAAAATATAATCCACAGACATAAATGAACATCCAAACTACATATTTCATTAAGTTTTGGAGCCTTTTTTGCTCTTAAATCAACATCTTTAAGTAATGATCCATATAGTATATAGCTGAACATAAGTCTTTAAAGTCCTCCATATAGACAAAGACATGAGCAAACCCCTTCTATTCACACTATTATGCCATACTTTCCATACAGGGTCTACACCGCAAAGTATGTTGCTTCGGAATCATAATAACTGTTAACTTGCTTTATTAGTCTGAAATAACCCTTAGAGTTGGCAATTTCTTTCTATAACAAAATCTGTTTTTAGTTTCGGAGCAGGTAACATTTTGATATTTTGCCCAACCCATAACCCACATGACATTGATTCATATTGTACTCAGAAGATAATTAGTTAGTTGGGCTTGCAGTTGAAATATAGATGAAATCATCAAATTTTTTCTTCAAAAATGTGTGTTTGGAACAACTCCTTCAAATGGTCATAATTTTCATGATTTATCACTCTTTCATACCATCTCCTTGCTTAAACTGTTAAAGCAAACAACAAAATGTGGAAATGCATAATTGTTAAACAAGATCAATAACATCAGTTTCCAAAGTCTGGGTATATTCAAATGTTCTATTCCAGTTTGCTTATATTAATCTGCACTGACTGCATTTCCATGCAGAAGATTAAAATGTGTGTACATGACTCATTTACCCGTATGCATATTTTTGGAAATATATACATGTTCAATGATTCAAGGAAACTACAAAATGTGGAATTTCATACTTAATAAAAATATTTTCAGGCTATACCACCTGTTGCAGACAGTGGGAGGGTTGGAAGTGAGGGAGTTCTCAAGCAAGCTGAATGCCCATATGAGAGAAAGATTACTAAAGCAGTTCAGTTTAGGCAAAATAGATATGTAAGTCAAACATAACCTTTCAATCTCTATTACTCTGTCATTTTCAAGATTCTACTGGGCTTCACAAATACCATCCTCCGAACGCAGGGTTCCAGACATCATTCACTTAGTTCCTTCCTTCTTCCAGAAGAAGGAGGTAGGAGTTCTGGAGGCCTGTGTTCGGAGAATGCACAAATACAGCTGTAGTTCAACTTACAGTCAGGATATTCTTATTGATATAATGCCTGGAAATGGTACATACAATGTATAATGATAGAACAAATTATTAGCAATATTGAACAAAATGTCTATCTAAACCTAATTCTTAACTTTGCTCAAGTCGGTATTTTTTACTTATCCTGATCTTGAATTATTACCGCCTTGTACAATATAATGGTATTTTAGGGTCAGTTAGAGACTGAGCCCATTTTAAGCTTATTCTGCATATGACAGCTTGGAAGAAAGCTAAAGATGAAAATGAATCTGATTCAAGCATTCTTAAATGTAAATTTTCAGAAATTGCTCATCTAGTCTTATTCTCACAGCATGTAATTTCTGTTTAGATTGATTTGTTCCGATGCTATGGCCCGAGGGATGGATATAGAGGGAGTACAGTATGTGATATCCTATGATTATACACCCTACATAAAGACATATATACACCGTGTGGGACGTACAGCTAGGGCAGGAAAGCCTGGCACTGCCTTCACATTTCTAGAGAAGAAAGAGGTAACTATGTAAAATTTGTGAAAGTCTAACTTGTTTGACCTTGTCACAAGTTATTTATCAAGTTAATTATTATTATCAAATGGCATCAATATACATTTTTTTTTAAAATTGTGAATTCCTCATAAGGCATGATTTCTAGAAATTCCAGAGTTTTGCATGCTTTACAATATGGTGCAATTCTGGAATGCATTGTCTATTAAGCAAATTATAATTTTAATGTCACCACCAAAGAGGTGAGGTGACAGACATATTGTTATTGTCACCAACTTTTTGCTGAAAGCAGTCTGAGTTTGGTGGTTAGTGTTTGGTGGTAGGCATAACAAATGGCAGGTGGTGACATTTTGCATGTTTATGCCTTGTTATAATCAGGGTCAGGGAATCATCATTTGGTATGTCTTGTTTTCAGATCTTCCACTTCAAGAAGATGATTCAGGAGGCTGGTAAGCCAGGAGTGGAGGAGGTGAAGATGCCAAACTCCAAGTTGAAGCCCTGGGTAGCAACCATGCAGGAAGCACTCAAGAAGCTGCCAGACCTGCTTAAGGTGAAGTAGATCATTACCTCTCGTTCTCACTCACTCAGAGTAGTTTGATTTTCAATTTAAACTAAAAAGTATTTGTGTCACTGTCGCCATCAGATCATATCTCTACCATGCTTTCCCTTGAAATCAATTTATGTAATGCCTGATCGTGCAATTAAACAACTTGAATGTTTTAATGTAAATCACTTTATTGAGATATTCCATAAGTTTGCATGAATATTTTCTGTAGCCTAGCAATTAATATTTAATATGTTTAATTTTTGATTTCTTTCAGGCGGAGAAAAGAAAAAGATGACTTTACTAAAATACAACAAGGATGATGTAATACAAATAGACTAAACCAGTAGATTATGGATACTGGTATATTTGTAGAAGCTTGATTTTAAAAGCAGATATATATTGACTGTTTTCTTAATCCAATCTTCAAGACTGACTGACCTATCTGAAGTCTACTTGAGTCTTAAAGCTTCGCGAATGCAACTTTCGTCTGTCGGCTACAGGATTAACCTAACTGTTTTATGGGCAACTCATTTAAATATGAATAGTACCTGCCACTATTCCATTCATATAAAAACATGAAAAACGAGTTGGACGGTCGAAAGTGGCATTTACGAATACAAGCTCAGTAAAAAAGATCCCAATTAGTAAGTGATTAAAAACAAAAACTTATATTTTGTGACTTATATGTAGTCGAAATCCTGGTTACGCCACTGTGTACATGCCAGCATGTAAGTGCCTTAAGAAATTTAAATTGGAGGAGGAATATTATACAATAAAATAAAAAAGCATCCACCACCAGAACTACTATGTATTAAATAGTAAATATTAAAATGCAAATAAATTAAACAAAATATATACATTGCACCCATATTAATTTTTATTATCTGTCTAGAGAGAGAGCTCTTATTTCTGATCAGTTAGTTGATATATCACTAGGTATTTTAAAACTTAGAAAAAATGTCGTTGGGATTCTGCCTACAACGCGTGAAATGAGGAAAAAAGAAAAATCGTACCTTCGACGTTCCGACATTTTGTTACCGAAACGAACCGTTTCGGTAACCAGCGTAATCGAGCAGATAGTAGTGACACTGTCTGTTTTTCATTGAGTAACAAAATGCGACAGATAACAATCAAAAATACAGCTCAGAGAGGGAGATCATGTGGAGAGGGATCGACTTGATTATACAATAGCAATATGACAGCACTAAGATGTCACCACCAGAAGTGGTAACATATTGCTATAAAGTCTCCACTTTTTTAGAAGTTGTTAGCGTCTGTCAAATTAACAACTTACAAGGTGGTGATATTTTGTCATATTAATGCCTTGTCATATTATCAATGCCTAGTCATGTTAGAAAGACACATGATTGATATTTTGTGAAAAATATTCACATAAGGTTGATTTTTTCACATAATTTTGTTCTCTGTTCAAAATGTTGTTCACATTTCAAGTTTCTTTAACATGGGAGTCAATGGGAAAAAATGGGACCAAAAATTGTTCGGATTGGGAGGTGTTTGGATTAGTCAGGCATTTGGATATACAATTTTCGGTCAATGGATACTATTAAAATGTATAAAATAGTTTCTTTTATAAATAGAGTTTAGTAAGTTTTGGAAGCCTTATAGCCTCTTATCTGTCAGTCAATATCAGTCCAACAAGTCAAATACCAGGGGATATTAAGAGTTCTGATTAGGAATTTATCCCTTTGGAAATATCTAAAATATGCAAAACCATCCAATTAAGACATTTTTCAAAGAGTGAGGTATATCCCTACATGCTTCAGTCTTACCTTGTATGTTATTTGTTCCAAAATCCTGACATCATTTATACGAGTACATGAACATAAAATACAGGGTGGTCAAAAAAACGGAAACCCTTACGACATTTTCCTCATATCTTTGTCATTATCCCACTGAACGAAGTTCGAGGGGGATATAGAGAAGCTGTCCATCCGTCCGTTCGTTTGTCCGGGCGATAACTCCAATACCGGTTGACGGATTTGGTTCAAATTTAATAGGCGTATGCCTGATGAGTGTAGGACCTCTGCTTGAGAAGGAATTTTCAATATGGCCGCTCAATTCAAAATGACCGCCATTTTTCGTAAAAAATGTAATCGTTGATAACTCAAATACAAGTTGACGGATTTGGTTCAAATTTTATATGCTGATGCCTAGGGACAAAGGAGTTTCGCACAAAAATAGATTTATAAGATGGCCGCTTAATTTCAAAATGGCGGCCATTTTTCGTAAAAATATGTAAACTTTGATAACTCAAAAATACCAGTGAACGGTTTGGTTCAGATTTTATATGATGATGCTTAGGGACACAGTAGCTATGTTCGACAAAAAATTTTCAAGATGGCCGCTTAATTTCAAAATGGCAGCCATTTTTCGCAAAAAACATAATCTTTGATAACTCAAATACCAGTGAACAGATTTGGTTGAAATTTTATATGATTATGCCTAGGGACAAAAGAAACAATTTTCAAGATGGCGGCCAATTTTCGATAACTCATATTCCAGTGAACGGATTTGGTTCAAAGGAAGAGGTGCGATTATTGGCAAATATCCCTATGGTCAAAATGAATCATTCTTAGGTGTAACATGAAGATTAGCATGTCATATAATACTTAGGAAAATATTAAAGTGCTCGGGCACACATAAGCTGAGATAGGGGTCATTTCGTTCAGTAAGGTTGTATTGACTTACATGGGGCTGTGCACCATTGACTTAATATGAGGATATCAGCAGATCCCAATTGAGGCCATCGGTTCCATTGATTATCACAGAAATATCAAAAATATACTATGACCTGAATCGATTGCAAATTTTATAATTTCACAATATGACACAAATGATTCATCTCATCAAATGTGCAAATATGAAGTTTGCAATCGATTCAGGTCATACGATAAATTAAAAGATTGTACATTTTTTTCATTATTTTTTCCCTACAAAATGGCTATAGAAAAATGCTCCAAAAACATCTTTTTCACTTATCAAATATCATAAAACTTTGCAAAACCAAAGATTATAATATTATATTTCATTATTTAGTATCATATGTGAATAAGATGTAGGGATGCGTAGGATGCAAATGGATTTTGATAAGCATAAAAATACTTCCTGGTTTGGAATCTATGCCTATACACTTCATGATTGAATTATGACCCTAATAAGTGGTCCATTCATCAATGCAGTGCTGAATATAGGTCAACAAGATACTAGTTTGCATGTAAATGTTATAACAAGGCATTAACATGACAAAATGTCACCACCTAAAACAATTTGGTCAATTAAAGCAAGTTGAAAAAATACCTCTTTGACTTTTTTTGACATTAAGAAGGTCAATGAAGGTCAAATGTCAAATCTAAAGTCAGATTTGAATTTCTGAGAACATGTAGATGATTTTGAAAAAAAAAATTAGTCAATTTGAAGCAAGTTGAAAAAAGACCTTTTTGACCTTTTTATTAGCTCACATGGTGAGCTTTTGCAATCTCTCACTTGTCCGTCTGTCTGTCTGTCCGTCTGTCTGTCTGTCCGTCAACAATAGTGGCACGTTTTAAAACCTCTGTCAATAGGATTCCTGTTTTAAGTTATTACTGTTCAACATCAATACAGAAAATCCCCTTATGACTCCTGGTTCAAAAGCTCGCCTATTTTCAAAATGGCCGTCACTTTTGTCTCGCGAAATTCACTTTTAGCCCATTTCCTAGCTAACCACTGTCGATAGGATTCCTGTTTTAAGTTATTTCTGTTCAACATCAATACAGAAAACCCCCCTATGACTCCTGGTTCAAAAGCTCGCCTATTTTCAAAATGGCCGTCACTTTTGTCTCGCGAAATTCACTTTTGGCTCATTTCCTAGCTTTACAAATAATTTCAATGTTGAGAAGGTCATTGAAGGTCAAATGTCAAATCTAAAGTCAAATCTAAAATCATATTTGAATTTCTGAGAACATGTAGATGATTTTGAAAAAATAATTTAGTCAATTTGAAGCAAGATGAAAAAATACCTTTTTGACCTTTTTTGACATTGAGAAGGTCATTGAAGGTCAAATGTCAAATCTAAAGTCAGAATTGAATTTCTGAGAACACGTAGATGATTTTGAAAAAGAAAATTTAGTCAATTTGAAGCAAGCTGAAAAAAGACCTTTTTGACCTTTTTTGACTTTGAGAAGGTCATTGAAGGTCAAATGTCAAATCTTAAGTCAAATCTAAAGTCAGATTTGAATTTCTGAGAACACGTAGATGATTTTGAAAATTTCTTTTAGTCAATTTGAAGCAAGTTGAAAACAGACCTTTTTGACCTTGAGAAGGTCATTGAAGGTCAAATGTCAAATCTTAAGTCAAATCTTAAGTCAGATTTGAATTTCTGAGAACACATAGATGATTTTGAAAAAAAAAATTTAGTCAATTTGAAGCAAGTTGAAAACAGACCTTTTTGACCTTTTTTGACCTTGAGAAGGTCATTAAAGGTCAAATGTCAAATCTAAAGTCAGATTTGAAGGTCAAATGTCAGATCTAAAGTCAGATTTGAATTTCTGAGAACATGTAGATGATTTTGAAAAAAAATTTAGTCAATGTGAAGCAAGTTGAAAAAAGACCTTTTTGACCTTGAGAAGGTCATTGAAGGTCAAATGTCAAATCTAAAGTCAGATTTGAACTTCTGATAACATGTAGATGATTTAGAAAAAAATTGAAGTCAGTCTAAACAGTATTTGTTAAGTTATAGGAAGTTGTAAGAAATTGTTACAGACGCCGGACGCCAACCTCCAACCGCCGGACGCCAACCTCCAACCACCGTCGCAAAAAAACGGAGACCCTTTTGGTGGTGACATAATAAAAGCAATATACTCATTTTGAAAAATCAGATGAATTAATTTTTTTTCATGGGGAGATCACAATGAGAAGCGCATTACTTCCTTTTATATGATGATGCCTAGGGACACAGTTGCTATGTTCGACAAAGAATTTTCAAGATGGCCGCTTTATTTCAAAATGACAGCAATTTTTCTTTAAAAAAACATAATCTTTGATAACTCAAATACCAGTAAACGGATTTGGTTCAAATTTTATATGATGATGGCTAGGGACACAGTTGTTTTGTTCAAAAATGAATTTTCAAGATGGCCACTGAATTTCAAAATGGTGGCCATTTTTCGTAAAAAAAATGAACGGATTTGTTTTTCTTATATGATAATGCCAAGGGACACAGTAGCTCTGTTCGAGGAAGAATTTTAAAAATGGCAGCTGAATTTCAAAATTGTTGCCATTTTTCTTAATTCAAATTTTATATGAACTACCTGAAACAAAACAATGACTTCTATGGATCAAAGCTCAAATTCTTAGCAAGATGTAACAAATTTGCTCTTTATTCCAATTATGAATCACAAAGAAAGACAGATGGAAAATGCATATTATGTAAAGATAATGTAGATGACTCTATCCAACACAGACTTGTAGAATGTTCTTTCTTTAACAAAGAAAGAATACACTTCTATTGTAAGTTACTAGACAAATGCAATGAGAATGTGTTTAATTATTTTATATCCTGTACCTCAGAAAATAAACTCTATTTTATGTTAGGTGATGATGTTCTCAGTCAATGGGGGCACGATCAATTTTATATTGTAGATGGACTGGTAAAACAGTTTTTAACAAAGATTTTTAAACCTGACTTATAAGAACGATTTTAGATATTTTAATGATCATGTATGTATTTTGACTGTAGACGCACCTAAATATTTTTAGTGTGCCACTGATTTAAAAGTGTATGTCTAAATAATAAATAAATAAATATGCTGATACCTAGGGACACTATAGCTCTGTTCGAGAAAGATTTTCAAAATGACTGCAGAATTTCAAATGGCTTCCATTTTTAGTAAAAAAGAATGTAATCTTTGATAACTCAAATTTTAATTTATGGTTTACATTTTATATGTTGATGCTTAGGGACAAACAAGCTCTGCTCAAGAAGGAATTTTCAAGATGGCCACTAATAATCTAAATATGTTTTGTTAGGTGGGATTTGCTACTCCGTGGAGTTGCTGTTTTTCTAGTTCTAGTTTTAAGAAAAAACTCCCTGATATTTTACACATTTGTACATCATTCAATTTTCTATCAGCGTACTATATTTCATGACCATCAGATAAGTCACAATGTCACAATGTTACAGCACTTTAAAGAACATGCCCCAGTGGCCACTTTGCGCTTTCAGTATAACTGCTCACATAGTCCAAAATGTCCCTACCTGTGGAAAAATGGCAAAAAAGATGGAGTGTTTGAGAATGATCTCAGGACAATTGCAGACATCAAGAGTGAGATCATTTGTGTCAGGCCATACCTGCTGAGGAATTCATTCAGGTGATTGACAACTGTGCAGGTTTGACTATAGCGGGATGATGCTCGAATTTGAAGCATGTTGTTAAATTAGTGCTGTAAAATTTTGACTATCAGTCTGATGGTCATGAAATATAGTAGGGTGGTAGAAAAGTGAATGATGTACTTAAATGTGTGAAATATCAGAGAGTAAATCCCTTAAATGACAAAGATATGAGGAAAATGCAGGGTTCCTTTTTTGAACACCCTGAACCTACAAACCCGGTAAGTCCATCATATTTTCTGTTTTAATTTACAATCAAAGTGTTATGCCAGGAGGCAGAGAAATAAAACCGAGAACTGCTACCAATTATGAAAATTGGTAAAAAATATTTAATTTGAAGCTTAGTTAACAACATTTTTGTCACAGTTTTTATTATGTCAATACATAGAAAACTAAATATATAATACTCTATTCATTACACACATCTATCATGTCTATATTTATATATATATAATATATATATACAAAGCATCAACTTCTATTTATAATAAAATACAAGTCTACTTTGAAAATGGCACCAGTCAAAATGTCGATGGATTGATGGAGAGAATCACAAATGGATATCTTGTTTTTATGTTTCTCTTGGCACCAAAATAACTCCATAAAAAGCAGCATTTATGATCAGCATACATATAAATATCATTCATGGCACTGTCGTAGTGGTCGAACTTAGTTGCATTTTGTGAATTTTTTATTTATGATAATACATGCAATCATTTTAACAGATTATCTCTTAAGAGTGAATCAATTTGTGTTTGATTAGATTATTTCTCCGTTTGAAGACTTTATCACATTTTTCACAACTAAAATTCAAATTGTGAACCAATTCATGTTTATTCAGCTTATTTCTTGTAGAAAATGCTTCATCACAAATCTGGCATTTAAACTTTTTAATTGTGTGTACTAAATCAAAATGTTCCTTTAAGAGGCTTGAACTATAATAGGATTGATCGCATAATTTACAATTGTATTTTTTATTGTTTGCCGAGTGCACCAGTTCATGTTGTTTTAAATAACTCCGTCGAATAAATGCTTTATCACAAAATTGACACTTAAACGGTCGAGCCTCTCGTCCCATATGAAGGAACATGTGTTCTTTGAGGCTAGGCTTCTGAGTGAATGTCTTTTTACAAACTTCACATTGGAATGGTTTGACTTCCATGTGAGTTGCTTGATGCACTCTCAATATATATGCTTGTGAACATTTTCTTCCACAAATGTTACATACAAATGGTGTCTCACCAGTATGCTGCCGATAATGCCTCTTTAATTGTAACTTTGTAGCGAAGGCCTTGTTACAAACATCACATTTGATTGAACCAATGTGGATCGTTAACTTTCCCTTCGAGGCAAAATATTCGCCACATTTTTCACATTTAAATTTTTTCTCACCAGTGTGTCTAACCTCATGGAGCTTGTAGTCTCTATTCGTAATAAAACCCTTGCCACAATATAGACATTTAAATGGTTTGGCATTACTCTCTCTATGGGTCAATTCATGCACATGCATAGCATCTTTCCTACTGAATTGCTTCCCACATACTTCACATGAATATGGTTTCTCCCCCGTATGGGTTCTTATATGAACTCTCAAATAACCCTTCTGTGTATACCCCTTACCACATATGTCACATTTGAAAGGTCTATATCCAGTATGTATATATCTATGCACTTTTAAATAACTGTTTGATAAAAATGTTTTACCACATATATCACAACTTAATTGCCTTTTCCCATGTTTTCCACCAGGTTCTACTGCCTGTGGTTTAGGAGAATCATAACAAGTTGCGTAAATATTATCAGATTGTTCAACTTTTACATAGCTTTGTTGATGATTGTATTCAGAATCTGGTTGATTAAGGGTTTCCTCCATTCCTTCATTCAGATTATTGGTCTCATAATAGAGTCCCATAGAGGTTGTCTCTTCTAGTTCCCTGAGGTACACTTCAGAAATGTCAATTTCTTCGGGTTCTTCTTTTATTTTTGTTACATAATTTTCCATTTCATCAAACATGTGGTCCTTCTGGTTTTTATTTTCCTCAAACACTTGACTTGTATCAGGCTTGTCAGTTTCGCAACTTTCTAATTTCAAATGATTCTGTTCAGCATTTGTTTCATACTTCTTCATTTGGTAAGTTGCTTGATTTTCACAACTCTCTCTTTCAATTGATTCCTGTTCTGTGCTGCGATCCTCCATTTTAGGGGAATTCTGATTTTCACTAGTTGTACTATTTTCCATTTTATCTGGTTCCTGATTTTCATTGGATCAATAATTCTTCATCTTTTTTGGTTCCCGGTTTTCATTGGTTTATTCTTGATGTCATCGTCAGCTACATTTTATCCTTCTCATCATTCAGATTCTGAATCATCTGATCTAATTTTGATACACATTCCATAAAAAGTTAATCACTGAAAATATGAACAGCAAGACCAACCTTCGGGAACGAGAATTATTTGATAAAGTATGCATACGTCACAGAAATCCCAGACGTGTTCACTAATAAGATTCACTGATAGACAACCTTATGTCAGTAAATGATCAATGGTTGCCGATGTATCCCAGTTAATTCATTGTCAGTGTCAGATCTTGTAATGTTAAAACTTTCAAAATAATCCTATTATTGACACAAATGGAATTTTGTTGTAATTTATCCGCTGTCCTGTCTGTTAATCAAAACTACCAATCATATGTCATGTATGTAGCTAGTTTGCCTTGTCATCTGAAAGCATAAAAATCCAGTTTTTACATATCAAGCTTTCCAGAGTGTTCCAAAAGTATCAGGATTGATGTTACCATATTTTTAATATCCTCCCAATCACCTCAACATTTTCAGTGGACACATTCATGAAAAGACAAGTCTCAGTTTGGAGAACGAAGTTCATCAGTCTACTGCACCTTACATCTGCTTTGGACAATTTTGATATTTTTACATATTGTAGATTTTGAATACGGTATTCATAATTTAATTTGGGTGCTATTTCTATATTTTCTATATTTTTCATAAAAATTATTAGCCCAGGAGACTTCTCCAAACCGAGACTTGTCCTTTAGTATATAAATGATTGTTATATCGAAGGCAACCAATATATTTTGAGAGGAGTTCAAAAATACTTATACAAATGCTCTGATTTCAATTTTCAAATCATCATGTTTGTTTAAATAACAGATCAAATATCACTTATGAAGTAAAACCAATTTCAACGTCTATGGCCCGACATGTGTTTGCTTTTAGTTTACATCCCTCTCACATTATTCTCATATTATGGGGTTTTGATTCTGATCCATTTAATTGCAAAAAGGCACAAATATATGTGCATAATTGTTTGCGAGAAAATAAAAGGAAAAGCTCTCTGCTCTTATACCAGTCATCCTCATATATAATGTATAGACGTGTCGCAAAAAGGTGGCGCATTTGTTTTTTAAGGGTAACGCGTGAATGTAACTTTGATTCCCCGGATTATAAGATAATATTCTAATTAAAGTTATATATCATTTTAAAGCTGTTTCGATGAAGTTTTTAGATCAACTACACTCCGTTTACGATTCTTGCGCGTTCTTTTTTAAAAAAGAGTTTTTTACCAAAACATCTGGCAAATATCCCCTGTTGACACGTTACATTTTGAATTATTTTTCGTCTTTAAACGCTCATAACTCAAACAATATATGACTATTATACTTATTTTTCGTCTTGATAAAGGTAGATGGAAGTTTTATTTCAAAGGATGAATTTTAGTAAGCGTCCCATATTGTGACGTCATAGAGTTTGAAAAATAGAATCTGTTGACAGCTCATTTTTTGTTACCTTCAACTTTTCAGGTGTACATTAAACAAAAAATACGAGATCAATTTTTAATAAATCATACATGATTATTTTGCTCTTAAACTCTAGTTTATTAATAAATAGTTGATTTTGCTCGCAAAAGACCTGTTTTCTGTTGTATGGGGAAAAGTGGAGGATGAAAGGTTTTCAAAATTCATTAAAATAGGGCTAATTTACGCCATTCGCCTATTTTCAAGCACGGCAACACGTATATTTATTTCACCTAAAATATCAATTGATTCGTGTTTTATGATGCTCCTATCCCATTGTTAATACATATACGATATCAGAGTTATTCGCCTTAACTATTTTAAGATATAGAGGCAAATGTGGAGGACGAAAGGATTTCCATATGTGTACATTTTTCTCAAAAAACGTCACATTCTGTGGTGTTAAAAAGCGAAAATGTGTAAAAATGCGTGCGCGACCTTTTTGCGACACGTCATAACTATTATTATATCGGTAAACCCTGTTAAGTGGAACACCTCAATGAGTGGAACACTTTTCAAAGTGACTCATAACATTTAGTAAAAGCAACCTCAGCAAGTGGAACACTCCTAAGTGAGTCACTATTTGAGGTACAAAGGTGTTCCACTTGTATAGGTTTAACTGTAATTGTATTGAAAATGAGATGGTGGATGGTTAATGCTGATATGAATTCAAGACAGTTACAACTGTACCTTTCTTTGGTATAAAGTTACTTGCACACTTGGAGAACTTCTCTAGCTCTGTAAAGCAGACAGTGACATCTGCTGGGTGATGCTTGAGGCACAGATCATATGCTGTATAAGGTTCGCTACAAATATCCTTGATTTTTTTGATAGTGTCGCTGCAAATAATAGATGGTATAAAATATGTCATCAACTTTATTAGTATTATTACTTATAAGTTGATGTACAAATCATAGGGTAAAATTATGGAATAGAGAGGACAATTTTTATTTTTCTAGACTTGTTTAAACTATATACACAAAATGGAAAAAGCTAAATGTATTAGATTAAACAAATGCAATGTTAATTGATAGCCTACAATGTTACCTTATATTGAAAATGTTTAACTAAAACAAATTAATTTAACTCACTGTGATTCAGTGCAATGAGCAAGTGCTTGCCTCTCCTGACTGCACTTCTCTTGCCAATTATCAGGGTATGCCTTCACACAGCTTGCAACTCCCTCTAGTTCATAGTCACACAAATTAGCAACAATTTTCAAAATGACTTCCCTGGAAAATAGTAATTGCATGTAAAGTTCAAGTTTTCATAAAGGTGAAATTTTTAAAAGTTCTAGAGATTTAAGTAAAATCAGCATTTAACAAAATGTAATTCAGCATTGGCCTACAAGCCGGTGTGGTGGCCGGTGTTTATGATCATGGGCGATAATATGTTATACTATTAAAAAACACATTTCATTGGCTTTGAAGGAATCGAATGCGACGATATCTCCCATTGCAAAGATTAAATATGATCATGTTAATAACATCAATATAAATTAATAGAAATTGATTCCGTCTTTATATACCAAATACTCAATTTTAGGTGGAACTAGCATACATTTCAAAATAATACCGGAAGTGGTTTGAAAGGAAATGAATATGTATTTTAACCATCAAATATTGTCATAAAGCCATATATGGATGACCAAAAGTCAGAATGGTACCAGACAAATTAAGCAAAGATGTTATTTTAATCACTTATGCCTCAAATGTCAGTCTTGGGAACTTTATTTGCCAAGATTATTCACTCCGTAAATAATTTAAAAAATGGCAAAAAGTTTGAATGAAGAAATTCAGCAGATTTCGCTTCATAACCCCAGACCCCTAGTCCTCCATGGCTATGTAGCACCATTTATGGTGTTATATAGTATCTGGCTATATGTATGGGTGGTCGTATTCGGGGTTGATGAATTCTTTGAGCTGGGATGTATCGCTTTAGCCGGTATCGGAATTCTGCAAATTTTGGTTTGTCTTTTCTGTTTCTGGTCTGTAGCCATCAGATGTGCATTGACCTGTTCCAAGGTAAGATATATAAGCGAATCAGTGCATGTTTTTAAACACCAAGTATGATTTGAAGGAATTGCAACATTGATTTCATGGCTGTCAACTGTCACTCAATTTGCATATTTGTCACGCATTTGCTGAATAAATTAAAGTCACAATCTTTTTTGCTTGACAGAATATGTCACGCAAATATACATTTTATCTGATTATTGTCAAGCAAAAATATTTCATAAAAAAATCAAGGCTGAAAAAACGAACAATTTAGTTCAGTTGGGATTTTCACACAAATTGCGTATATGTCACACATTTGATTCGAATGTTCTTGTTCCTGTAAAATGGAGCGGGGATAAGAAGCATTGCAATTTGTGTTATTATATTATTCCAGGGCCAAGATCCAGCCAGTAGCAAGTTGGTGCATGTTGTCCCAACAGAGAATAATGGCTTTGCTGCCTTACTTCCCCTGCAGCATGATAAGGTAAGGTTATTGGTCAAAATTAAGAATAACTGAATTGGTATTTGTATTATTCCTTTCAAATAATATACTGTACGCCCGGTATTATTCGCGAGCTTTAATTTCGCGAATTTTGCGAAAACTTGGTTTCGCGGCTATTAAATTTCGCGAATTTCACAAGCTAAATTACTAGTAGATGTACAGTAATTGCACTTACCTGATGTCATAGTTGGTTCAGATTTACAATAACTGGGATCTTTATCATCGGCAAGCTGCATATCAACTTCTATTATCGCATCGTTAATTTCGGTCTTATTTTAAAACGAAAAAGCAGTTTGAATTAGTATTTTGTATTACTAGTAGTTATTCGAATTTTGTACTCACAACATCAAGAATCGTGAGAGTATCAATGTTGCATTCTGGGAGCCATTCTGGAGTTGCACAGTACTACTAGTATCAGACTTGCCAACCTAAATATTGAAGTTACTCGATCCAAACTTGTAGAGAAAACTCATAAAGCAACAGTGAACATTGGGATATCCATTTCAATGGCAAATGAGGTCAGTTTCGCGACGATAATTTTTCGCGATTTTAACACCATCGCGAAAAGCGCGAAAGTTAATCGCACGCGAGTAATACCGGGCGTACAGTAGTCTAATCTTTTCATAACAAAAAAATAATGCAATCTACTTTTAATTTCAAGAATTTGGAGACAGGGAAATCTGAGATTTGGTTCATCTTTCAAAAGACTAAGTATGTTTACGATAGTGAGGAAAAGAAGCAATTTCGTCCCATACAGTTCCCTGTAAATAACTCTATGAGGGAGTACATGGACTGGAAAGGATATCAAGAGGAAGTAGAACTGAAGATAGCTGAACAAAAATATGGAAAGAATAAGTGAGACATTTTTGTATTGTTTGTAAGGCTATTGTAGTACATTGGCTTCTCTATACCATATTGACCCATATATAGTCTCATCTTAACCACATGATTCATATTTTGTATAAACTTCATAAGTAAAACTTAGAATAAGAGGTCAATTTTTTTATAGAACTAGCTGACAGAATGAGTGTTTATTGAGAGTTCTTATGGAAATGAAACTCAGAACTGCTCTTCTACTTCACTTGTTCTGTTTTCAAGAACAGTAACTACATTTATGGAACTTTTTATTGAAGATAATATTTTGTATATTGATTGAGTGACAATATGTTTGTTTATCTGTAAATAATATTTGTCAAAATTGTTTGATTTTAGGATGGTCATGGATATACCTCAGTTTGCCGAGTTGTTCAAAGAGCGCGCCACTGCTCCATTCTTTGTTTTTCAAGTCTTCTGTGTTGGTGAGTAGTACCTCATAGCACATAAAGATGGCATTACAGTAAAACCTGTCTTAGTGAATACCTCTTTCTAGTGAACACCTATCTCTACAGACACCTGTCTACTGAACACCTGTCTCTAGTGAACCCCTGTCTCTACTGAACACCCGTCTCTAGTGAACACCTGTCTCTACTGAACACCTGTCTCTAGTGAACACCTGTCTCTACAGACACCCTTCCACTGCACATATTCTACTGACTACTGTATAAATTTCCCTCTCTGTAGTGAACACCTACCAACACTGAATATTTTTTCTCAGCAAAAATGTTCAATATACACAGGTTTAACTGTATAGTATTTATATTGTAAAAGTTAGTTCAGTGAATGATATACTCTGATATGTTGTTTTTAGATGAGTAGTCCAATATAAACTTAAAATATGTGTATGTTGAATATTGAATAAATTATCAAATAGAATCAGCTTTCCTGTTCATAAAGTTGCATAATTTTACAGGGTAAACAGACCAATTGGTTAACACATAACATTTATAGGATATCCTATGATTTTGAGGAATATCATTTTTATCTACGAGGTGATATTGATATCTGCACGAGAGAGCAAAGCGAACGAGGGCATATATCAATATCACCGAGTAGATTAAAATGATATTCTGAAAAAAAATCATAGGATGTTCTTATTATCCTACACTAACAAGGAGTGTACTAAATGTATAATATCATTGCAAAATGAATTTCATGCCAAATTGAGTCAATTTGGCGGGAAATCAACAAGCGGAGTATATCGTCACAATATCCTCCGCATATTGGGTTTTCCGGAGTATATCGTCACAATATCCTCCGCCCGGAGTATATCATCACAATATCCTCCGGTTATTCATATTGCCGATAGATATCAAATTTATTTTTTGATGTTATTAACACCCCGACATTTGAACTCGGAATCCTACAAATACTCGGACTTCAGCAAACATGAGGTTTGGGCAAATTAGGTTCAATTATTATGCCCGGCATAAGAGAAGATCTGTTGTTATGCCGGGCATAAGAGTAGATCTACTCTTATGCCGGGCATAAGAACAGATCTACTCTTATGCCGGGCATAAGAACAGATCTACTCTTATGCCGGGCATAAGAACAGATCTACTCTTATGCCGGGCATAAGAACAGATCTACTCTTATGCCCGGCATAAGAACAGATCTACTCTTATGCCGGGCATAAGAACAGATCTACTCTTATGCCGGGCATAAGAACAGATCTACTCTTATGCCGGGCATAAGAACAGATCTACTCTTATGCCCGGCATAAGAATTGAACCTAATTTGCCCAAACCTCATGTTTGCTGAAGTCCGAGTATTTGTAGGATTCCGAGTTCAAATGTCGGGGTGTTTATTATACATTTAGTACACTAAGTGTAGGATAATGAAAGTTTTCTATTTTTTCATGTACATGTAGGCCCACTATAAAGAAGTTATTTAACTGTTTGGCTGTTCTGTTTTTTTTGGATCATCCTGTATATACTTTCGTTGAATGGAATCAATATTTATCTATATAATTCAGGGCTCTCACCAGGAAATATTAAGGGTGTGGAGCTAACATCTTATAACCGTTCAATCGTGATAAATCAGATTTATGTTATGTTTTATCCTTTTTACATGCTATTATTGTATATTCAGTCAAGTTTAGACTGTGGAAACAGTCATGATTTGCCAATAGGGTGTGGAGGGAGCTAAATAGATTGTGGTGCTGCGCCACAGTCTAAAAGCCTGGTGAGAGCCCTGCAATTACATCACATTTTTTATTTAGGTCTGTGGTGTTTAGATGAGTACTGGTACTACAGTGTGTTCACCCTTTTTATGCTGATAGCCTTTGAGGCAACTTTAGTAACACAGCAGCTGAAGAATATGACAATGATTCACAGTATGGGCAATAAACCATATTTAATTCAAGTAAGCACTAATTATGCAAGTAATTTATGTAAGCTGGACTGCAGCGACCATATGAAATATGACAAGTTTGCTTTTGATATGCTTTAAACCATATTTGTGATACAAGCTAATTGCTTGAAAGTGGATGGCTTGGAATTCTGGCATGTTTGTATGTACATATCAGTGATCTCCCCAGCATTAAAGCAAGTGCGCGCTGTACCCACCTGAGATTTTGAAAATAGGCTTGCACCCACCTGAAAATCCATTTGCACTCCCTTGAAAATGAGAAAAATCACGAAAAATAGGCATATTTTGACCGATTTTGGTCTAAGTTGTGAAAATGAAAAATTTGCACCCACTTGAGAAAAAATCCTGTGGAGATTATTGCATATGGATCCACACTACTCTGCAAGATTGTTGGACTCATAGATTATACAGGGTGTCAAAAAACAACGGCACCCCCCTCTACAGCAAAAAATACATAATGTTACATGGTGTGTCATATACCATTTTAAAGACAATTTAATTCTGGAGTTACCTGAAAAATTTCAGCTTTATATCTTATAATTTTACAGATTTACAGCTGATTCTTAGTAGTTGGTATGACTACCAGTTGCTGCTTGAAAAGCAGCTTATCTGGATGGATATGATTTCAATAAAAAATCAGATAAAGGTGTAGCATTGCATAATCCTCTAAGCACTTTCCTCACATTCTTCAGAATAACATCCTTACTGTATCTTTTTTCTGTTTTTCAAGAGGCTCTTTGTCCATCAATTCCTATACCCTGTTTTTCAGAACTGAGCCCATATGTTCAGTGCAGTTGAAATCAGGGCTAAGTCTTTCATATTCCACTTTCTTAAGATTTGACCTTTGACCAGTAATAGAGCAGCAAATAAAGTACCAAGGTAGCAAACTTTGAAACAATGTAGCTTTTTTAATATAAAGTTTTATTGAATGAAATTTGATAAGTAACTCCAGAATTAAATTATCTTTCAAATGAGGTATGACACGATATGTAACATTAAGGACCTTTTGCTGTAGAGGGGGGTGCCGTTGTTTTTTGACACCCTGTACAATGACCAATTTTTTTCAGGCATTCCGTAACAGAAAATGGCGACCAATAATGAGCGATGAACTTGTCCCTGGAGACCTGATTTCAGTTGGTCGATATCAGGATGATAAACTTGTGCCTTGTGACCTGCTCCTCTTGCGGGGTTCTTGTATCGTAGATGAGTCTATGTTGACAGGGGAATCTGTTCCTGTCATGAAGGTTAGAGAATGTTTAGTTAGTTTATTGCTTTATTTACCACCCAATTTTTTCAATAATTGCCAATAATTGAGGCAACCAGAGTTGTGAACATTGTCCCTCATAATATGATTTATAGTGTTTTCAAATGTAAATTGCAAAGTCTCTTTCCAGGAGCCAATTGAAGTGCTAGAACCTGAGGATGTGTTAGATACTACATGCCATGGTAAACTGCACATGTTGTATGGGGGAACAAAAGTTGTACAGCATACTCCTCCCAGCAAGACTGGTCCTGGCATGAAAGGTAGAGTTATATTTACTGCATTTAGCGTTCACTATATATGTGGTGTATCTCTTAAGCATATTGGTTGCATTTTTTTGTCACATGCCCAGTATCATTCTTGTTCAACTTGCAGTTATATTTGAGCTAAAAATAAATTTATTTACTATAGCAACCAATGTATCAGTAATTAATGGGAGTGAGATACAGTATTTTACGGCATTGAAGGGAAAATCTTTGAGAAAATTGGATTTTTTGAAAAATAGGCTAAAATTTTCAAAAAGTTCGGAAAACATGTTTTTTACCTCCTTGCCAATTTTCAATTTTATATTGAAACCTGTGTAAGTGAAACACTCTTGATACCTCAAAATAATGAACCACTTGGTATGTCTTCCACTTACAGAGGCTGATATACAATAGGCTGATATACAATTAATGATGGGTAACGATACTTAGCTTATGGAGGTGTATCTCCACTGCATTCAGATGGGAGCCGAGTGAACGATGATGGGTGTTTCAACTACGGAAGAGTTCAAATTGACATGTTTCACTATATTTTTGATATTAATGTATTTGCAGCTGCAGACAATGGGTGTATAGCATATGTGTTGCAGACTAGCTTCCACACCTCCCAAGGTCGCCTTCTGAGGACAATTCTCTACGGTGTTAAACAAGTTACAGCCAACAACCTCGAGACTTTCTTCTTCATTCTTTTCCTCCTATTCTTTGCCATCATTGCTTCATCTTATGTATGGATTGAAGGTGAGTTAACCCGAAACTCCCTATATTATTTTCAAGTTTTCATGTTCAATGATTTTTTGAAAGTTCTAGTCAAGATAAATGATTAAACATCTGCAAAAATTATGTCAATTTTTGTTTGTCACACAGAAAGTTATCAATATAATGTCCTTAAATTCTAAAGATACATTTCTTTTTTGACACTAAAAGGGGAATCATTCTGAAAAAAATTATAATTTCTCTGAACTTTAAAATTATTTCAGCATTGTTCTTTCTCTCAAAGGTTTTCATATTTGAATTAATATTTAAAAAGAATCTTAACATTTTATTGATAGAAATAAGAATTTACTATCATGTAATTGTATGGTCTTTAATTAAGACCTTAAAGCTGATCATTCATTTTACAGGGACAAAGAATCCTAACAGGAATAGATACAAGTTGTTCCTAGAGTGTACGTTGATCTTAACGTCTGTTGTACCTCCAGAGTTACCCATAGAACTCTCTTTGGCAGTCAATACATCTCTTATAGCACTCACCAAGTTATGTAAGTATTTTTAGGCCATATACCGGTATGTTTAATGTCGCATGAATTCACTGATGTTAAAATTTCATATGATTTGCCTTTTATTATTTCTCTTAATCAGACATGCAATTATTAAAGCCTTTTTATTCACAATCAAGTATTGTATTTTCTAGTCATTTGATGTTGAGTTCCATAAATGTCTTCCCTCATGTTCATAATGTTGATTCTACTTCAGATGTCTTCTGTACAGAGCCATTCAGGATTCCATTTGCTGGAAAGATTGACATCTGTTGCTTTGACAAGACAGGAACCCTTACCAGTGATAACTTGGTAGTAGAAGGGTTGGCTGGCATTGAGTAAGGAATTAGTGAAATCAGTGCTATTATATATTAGTTTAATAATCCTATTTTGGGACAGTTGAAATTGAATTTTGGCTCGTATACAGTTAGAGATAAATTTGTGTATGATGGTATTTTTGTTTTGGATATTCATAATTTCTATGGTTTATGGTGTTTTGTGTTATGATTTGATACTACTCATAGATGTCCTCCTACATGAATTAAACCAACTATTAATTTAGATTTGGTACACATTTGAATTGATAAGTTGAAGAATCAATAAATATACAGTATAGATAAGAAATGCAAAACTTGCAATGTTTATTTCTTTCAGGGATAAAGACAAACTTTGTGCTGTTAGTGATGCCCCACTAGAAGCAATACAGGTATTAGCATCATGCCACTCCCTGGCACAGCTAGATGATGGGGATATAGTGGGTGACCCACTGGAGAAGGCAACTCTCCAAGCAGTTGAATGGAACATTACAAAAGGTATCAGAAACAAACAAAATTTATTTCATTTGTATTCATGTGCTACTCATACATTTTTTGAATGCATGAAAAACACCTGGGTAAGGAAAGGATGTGACATGTTTGTATAACTAAGACAATGATATAAGAATTATTTCGCACTGATATGATCCTTGTTATGTCACCACCGAAAAGTGGTGACATATTGTTATGTTTATGGTCTCCATTTTTGTTATGGCGGCTGGTGATCGGCGGTTGGCGTCTGTAACAAATGGTGTTGACATTTTGCATGTTAATGCCTTGTTTATAAATGTTTAAATGCTCATTCATCTAGTGTACTAAGTTATTCACTTTTTTTTTTCGATATTGCACATAATACTTGATAATTAAAAGAAAATGAAGATAACATTCTTATAACAGCGAATTGATTGTTACTTTCAGGAGATGCAGTTGTTCCTAAGAAAAAAGGCAGCCACCCATTAAAGATATTCCACAGGTTTCATTTCTCCAGTGCCCTGAAGCGCATGTCTGTTATTGCTGGTTATACCCCTCCAGGCTCTGTAGAGACAGATTACATTGCAACAGTGAAGGGAGCCCCGGAGACACTTCGATCTATGGTGAGTTGAAATAATACTTATTCATGTTTCATATGTATTCGGTATGATTAAGAATTCAGAGTTAAATTTAAGTCCCAATAGATTGGCTAAGTATAAAGAAGTTAAATGCTCCCATTTAAATGCAAAGACAATATATGGAGACTATTTTATCAATATACGACACTTTAGATATATTGGATACATGGAAAATGTGACTAATACTGGTCTTGGTGTAAATAATCATCTAATATGACATTTTCTTACCTCTAAAATAAGAAGAATTCTGTTTCCAGAAGATGAGATTATCTAAATGTATAATGTAAAATGTGTACAAATATCAGAACCCCTAATACATATTCATCATATACATGTATATGTATTAGTCAAAGGTAAAGGGACTATACCACATTACTGAATAAGCTTGCTATATAAACTTGAACATTGATGTTAATATTTTCATTCCAGTTTTCTCATGTGCCCTCCCACTATGACAAGGTCTACCTAAATATGGCCAGAAGAGGGGCAAGAGTCTTGGCTCTAGGACATAAAAAACTTGGCAGTCTGTCACACCAAAGAGTATGTGTTGTTTTTGAAGATTTGTTCATATCAATTTCTGATATTTTTGAATGAAAAATAGTTGTATATGATATTATACTTTTTCTATGATCCCCTTCATTTTATCAAGACAGAAAGAGAGTATTGTAAAATATATATTAAAATATTTTGAATTTTATACAATTATATTATGACTTAAACCTATCTATTCCAACAGGTGCGTGATATGATTAGAGGTGATATAGAAAATGGACTGACATTTGCTGGCTTTGTTATTATATCTTGCCCACTAAAATCTGACTCCAAGTCTGTCATCAAAGAAATTCTGCATGCATCCCATTATGTGAGTATTTTTTTCATAAGTCAATCAAAACTAATAATAATGCAATCCAAGGACCAAAATGCAATATGATATGGAAAAAACATTCATAGCTTAGATACAAGTACAAATGTTTGTATACATTAGATAGTTTATTATATGTGCAGTAAAACTATGGCCTCTTGTAATTTAAGAAGTTTCAGCCGATATGTTTGGACTTGTAGGTCACTATGATAACTGGGGACAATCCATTAACAGCTTGTCATGTAGCTAAAGAATTGAAGATCACACGTAAGGAACACACACTAACATTGTGCCCCAAGGAGAACTCGGGTAAGTTGTTGTCTCATAGTGTTTTGCAAGTAATAACTCCACACACTCAGTAACACAATTCTACACATGATCAATTTTATTTAACAATTCAAATTTCAAAAAATCTAAATAGGAGTGGCTAATACTATTGTGTTTTTCTAGTGATCATCTTAGAAGTTTTCAGTAAACCCTGTTGTCAATTTGGGAAAACCATCATCAGTTTTTTAAAACCATACAGTCTTGTTATGGGTCATTAAGACTCCATAATTGGGGATGTGATTTTGATTACGTTTATGTCCTTGATTTGTTCCTAAGAATTCTCCAACAAGATTGAATTTACAAGTATCAATTTGTTAAGTAGACTTGGACACTAATGATTTGATTATAGTCTATCTTTGTTCATAGTTTGCTCACATTTGTAATGAAATTTGAGTTTTTTTCAAATATTTGGCAAATAAAAAATGAAACTCAAATTCTAGAGAGTGGATGTTTTTATCAATCCTTCCTTCTCAGCTATGATATATATTCCTGGGTAATTTACTCCAAACAACTTAACTGTAAAAATATCTTGTTTTGAGGTGATCATTGCTATATTTGATTGCTATTGCTACATTTATAGATGATTGGCACTGGGTGAGTATAGATGGCACTGTCACTCAACATGCTATACCTGACGATGGTTTCAAGAGGCTTCTCTCGACATATGATCTTTGTCTCACAGGAGAGGTAAAAACATATTTTTTCTCGTTGAATATTAATTTACTTGTATTAATGTATGTCTAATTTTGAAAGTTACAAGGCTAGGGATTTGTTTGGTCAGTGCATGTAAGATTAATGTATTATTTAAATCAATAATGTACAGTTACCAAGTGGTGTCATCAATGAAACATTGGACTTTTACTTGATATATTCCTGTCAGGTCAAAGCAAACAGAAAATTGAATTTATAATTTGACTCTTAGTTGCTGTTGCTTGACATCCAAGAAAAAGTGAACATTCTATAGTGTTTACATGGAATGACACGATGATTCACTTACTACGCAAATGAATAACTAAATTCCTTGGATTTTTTTTGTGTTTTTTTCTTTGAATTTGAGCCCAAAATTGAGCACTCTCACCCAAGAAGAAACAATAAATTAAAACTTGTATTTCAGGATGTAATCTTAAAACTCCATGTTTCAAAAACATAATTTAACTGCATTGTTCCAGGCATTAAAGCAGCTCCAAAGGAACAGTAGCAAATTTCTGGCAAGAATTCTACCTCATGTCAGAGTATTTGCAAGGGTGGCACCTAAGCAAAAGGTAAAGACTTTCAACATCAGCCAATTTTACATTGAACTACTGGTACTATTTAGCCCCTGGTTCTCATCTTAATATTTCATGCCATCAAGTGGTGACCAGCACAAGTAGTGATGACATATTAAGGAACCACTTTTGTGACCTGTGTCAGAGTTTTGCATTGGTGTTCTATGCCTGCAACATTGTATTGTGATAACAGATGTACAGTACTGTATATGTATGTGATAAAGTATTTGAGAATTTAAGATCAATGAAAATTAAACACATAGCCAACCAGGAATGGTTCTATATATTTATAATACCAAAGTTGCTCTGCTCTTGCCACCTTAATTCAGATTATAGTAGTATTATGTCATTGTATTACATTCCCAGCGAAGCATTTGTATTGAAGTCAATGGAGCTGAAGGTCGGCTATATATTCCTGTATAGCCGCCAAACCTTTTACCATGACAATCTTATGACGTCATCGGGACGACATGTTTCATTTCTTCCTACTTTCACTCGCACACAGACACGTGGCGTCATTGATATAATGTAGCCATGATATAAAAGTATTTATCCCATACTTTGACGTGTTACAGGTACATAAAGCCGGTTTGTAAAAACTTATATTTTCATCAGCAGGCAGATATAGCTTAACGTCCCGCTCCGAGCGGGCAGATATAGTATATCTGCCCGCTACGTCATAATCGCCGCTCGCATATTTGTTCATAATTTGTAACGTTCGCGTAATGACTGTAAACGACAATCTATTTGATGGTTTAAAAAAGGGAAGGAGTATCCACTTAATCAATCAGAAATTCGAGAAAATAAATGTGGGAATATTTGAGAGAACAGGAAAATCCGCCAACGGCCAAGAAAACAAAACTGGACATGAATATTCTAAAATATTTCCACGATTGAACAATGTGAACCAGATGACCAAGATTGGTATGGGATAAATATATTATATTTGCCTCGGGATAATCCCAATATCCTGAACCTCATATAGGATAATCTCTATGTAATACAACAGTTATGTCCGTATCATTGAATATATGCCTTCGGTCTGTCGTAATATAACCCTCGCAATATATTGGTGACAGACCTTAGGAATATATTCAATGACAGGGACATAACTGCTAAGTATTGCATGTTGCAGGAGGTTGTCATCACCACATTGAAGCAGCTTGGGTTCACAACACTCATGTGTGGCGATGGGACCAATGATGTAGGGGCTTTGAAACATGCTCATGTTGGTAAGTTCAAATGTTGATGAATTATCAGCTATACCAGGAGGGTGACTTCTAGAGTGCTGCTGAGTCGATAAAAGGCTGGCGCTGGCTAAAACTGTCTTAGCCGCATAAAGATACCAGTTCCTGTCAGATCAATAGGGGGAACTGTTCCTACCGTCAAATATCAAGTTACAAGTTTATCCTAACACACATATATGCCTTTTGGTGTCTCGTGTGAAATAATTGTAACTGAAATGAAAATGAAAATCTACATTAAATAGATATTAGCACTTTTTGACTTATTTAAAAAGATGGATTATATTTAGTCCAAAGAGAAAATTTTGTAAAATTAGTACAAAATGTACACCGCTTTTTGTTTTCTGTTTTAGGTGTAGCTTTATTAGCAAATGCACCAGAGAAAATCCCAGAGAAGAAAAAGAAGAAAGATGAAGTAAGTATGAATTCAAAACTTCTCTTAATGTACAACTAGGTCTTCACTTGGGTAGGTGATCATAAATTTGATTGAACTTAACACTTCCTTGAATTTGATTTTGAATTTTTGATTTGAATTTGATTTTGAGTTGTTAATAAAAATAATGTCATTACCCAGTCATCTCATGATTTCAAAATAGGCCTAGATACATTTAAATCCCAAGATCAAACAATGAAAGATAATGCAGAGAGAATATTGATATTTTAGCTAACAATACTGAATGAATAAAACCTGATGTTTTGATCTTGGTTATTTACCAGGGCTCCAGTGTAGATGGAGATGTTTCAACTAATGATAGAATAGCTCAGTTGGAAAAGAAAGGAAAAATTGGTGCTAGAAATGTCAGATCTCGCAGTCATCCTAAAGATAATGTCATACCTGCACAGGTAAGTCACACTTGCATAGGTGAGATGATACACCTGCACAGGTAAGTCACATTTGTACAGGTTCAATGTAACACTTGCACAGGTCAGGTCACACCTGCATGGTTGAGTCACACTAGCAAGAAATATGTTAGTTGCTTTCACAAGTTAGATGTTGCACCTTAAGTGGAATAATTTTTAATGGGGCTCATTCAAAATGTATTGAAGGAATAGGTTTCCTTTAGTGCATGTGCTAAAGCATACATTTGTTGAATGACATAACTTTTACATTCTATTTATGTTTAAGCTCAATAAAAATGGGCATTATATAATCACCCTCCTTACCATATAATGCCAACAGGCAATTACTTTGCATATACATATAATTGCATATTAAAGTTTCACTCTTATGTTTGCATGTATTTTGTTTTGTAGAAGAAACTGCAGGCTTTAATGAAGGAAATGGAAGAAGAAGAGAAAGCTCAAGTTGTCAAATTAGGCGACGCCAGTATAGCTTCCCCATTCACATATAAACTCTCTAGTTGTGTAGCAGGTACAATTTTAGAATACTCGTAGAAAAGCAAAACTGACTAATCTCTGATAAAATTTTTATTCAGTTGTTTTCTGACATTTATTTTCTTTAGAGAAAACTAATAAGATTTGTATCAATATTTGATTATTTTTCTATTTTCAGTAAGTCATATAATCAAGCAGGGCAGATGTACCTTAGTGACCACTCTCCAGATGTTCAAGATTCTGGCTCTAAATGCTCTGATCTTGGCCTACAGTCAGAGTGTGTTATATCTAGCAGGGATCAAGTTCAGTGATGCCCAGGCTACCATGCAGGGACTGCTTCTTGCTGGTTGTTTCTTATTTATATCAAGGTCAAGGGTAAGTGGATACCTTTAATACAACGAGCACCTGAAGTGATTCACAGCCTACAGACCCTTGTAATGATTGTGAGTGGGGGGGTATTTGTTGCCTTGTTAAACATCCCCATCCTCCTATAATTGAACCAAATTTTGAGAAAACAAACTCAATTTTTAGATGTCTAGGTACCAGTTTTTATTTAATTGACAATTGTAACTTGAATATGGTCATATAGGCTTAAGATAATATTGTAATGAAAGGAATTCCTGGACTGTACACTACATATGTTTCAGTTTCAGTATTCTTTCATTAACATTTAAAACCACAGAATTTCCATTTCTTGAATACTTAAATCTGACTCAAGGATGCATTGAGACAATAGGAGTGACACAATCAAGACCCCTGAACTTTGTTTTGTTGTTTAATCATAATTGTAAGTTTGGAGGGAAACCAAAATGAGGCTGAGTGATGTCAAGGGAATACCATGTCTGACATGCAGCCCAGTGCACAAATTTTCAAAATCCATCGATAAGTTTAAATTTGAAATAACCCAAATTCTCCCAACCGTGTTCCGCCATTTTGCTCTAAGGTGACCCAATGACTGATCAACTGACCAATGAAAATTTATGTTCCAGAGAGTGTTCCTATACCCACTGGCATTTTTAAATGTCACATGATCAGATCTTTATAATAACTATTTCTGAGTGATATAAAAATGTTTTCTCAAAATACTCATATGTTGTCAGTGTAAAATGTCTTGAATATAATTATATATATGACCATTCTCTGATTTTATACACGAAACACAATATCTTTATTCCAAGTATCATACATACAATATTATATTTATTGTTTCAGCCATTAAAAGTATTATCCAAGGAGAGGCCACTACCAAATATATTTAATGTCTATACTATACTGACTGTCCTGCTGCAGTTTGCTGTCCACTTCTGGTCATTAGTTACATTGAAACATCAGGCAGAAATCCACTCACCTAAAAAGTAAGTATGTGCAAATTCATTAAATCATGTTTGAATAATATCTGTCATTTCCCTAGGGGAGAGTATTTGTACTGAAAGAAGCATTTTAAGAACATTTTTATTAGAAGAGGTGAAAAGACCCAATTGATTTCCAAGTTGATGAATTGAATTATTTCGGGTTGAGTGTAAAATTGGAGAAAAAAGAAATGAAACGGAATAAAAGATCCGTGAACATTCTACTTAGAATTGCATTAAATATATGAGCCTGGCCATAGGAAAACCGGTCTTATTACGAAAATTAAAATTGAAAATTTGCCCAAGATTAAGAGGAAAATGTGCTAAATTCAAATCCGACACATTTAATTTGCACATTTAAATGAAAAATATATAGATGTATTTGCAATGAAATCATTTTTCTTAAAGCATCTCTCCATTTACAACCTGAATTTACAATCTGAGTCGCAATCCTGTGACATCGTCATTTCTCCAACCTTAATTTGGCCATTTATCCTAGATCCTACGCATCTGACTTAAGGAATAAAGAATCGTGTATCATTCTAAACTGGAAATATAAAAGCATGAGTGTATGTACTAACCCATACCCATAATGCATGAAGGTGGAGCCATTTTAAAGAATAGTACTGCTCAGTCTGTGCATATCTCAAAAATTAAATGCAAAACAAAATCATCTGTATAAGGTTCGTGTTCTAAAGTATCTACAACTGATTTTAAATTGATTGATTTTAAAGTGTATTTCTTTCAAATCAAAATCAATTTTACAGATTTTCCAAACAAGGACAGATGCATAAAAAGCTTTTCATAGTCATAAGCTTATTGAATCTTAAATCAGGAAACCTGATGAATTGAAAAGCAATGTCTGATTAATTTCTGAAGAATTGAACAACTAGTTTCTGAATGATAAACTTAGAATATTTTGAATTAATCTGAATAGCCAAATTAAGTCCAAGTCATGAATTCTTGTCACACATTGCAAAATAGTTTATAGGATATCGAATACAATACGATATGAAATCACTTTAAAGAACATGTTTTCAAGGAATCGTTTTGCACGGGTCACATTGTTTCAATCAGTTTCACATTTTAGATGGCTGATCTGGATAATGTACATTCTCCCTCTGAATTGAATATTTCCTCATAGTTAATATATTCACATATATTCAGACATTCTTTCAATTTGAGCCAGTTCATTCTTAAACAGAACTAATTCGCCTACTTTAAATTGCAATTCATTCATTTTTTGTGCATCCATTTCATTGCAAATACAAAAGTTGAGGGAGTGAATAGAACAGCCAATTTGAAATTATGAAATTGGTGTAATCTAAAAGTGACCTTGGGTGCAATTAGACTAGTATATTGCAATTCAGTTATATGAAATACTCTGTTTTGATTGGCTGGAATATCTTGCCTAAAATCATGGTGGAATGTCATTCCAATTCAATTTATTATGATACTATAAAATCCTGATTTGCTAATTATCAAGTTGTCTTGTTTTTTTCCTGTCAAGAAATCACTGTTGGAGCTTCATCCAAATGATTTTCACGTCCTCTAAGTCAATTTTTTCATAATGGTGTGTTCAATGTTCAAATAGGAGGTGTTCCAATGAATCTGACTTCAGTAAAGTGTTCTACTTGCAAGATGTTATTAGCATTTATTGGCAGTTTTTTACTATATTTGACTGTAGACTCATTTGAAAGGTCCACGTAAATCCATGAAAAGATTTATTTATTTATTTATTTATTTTATTAAAGTGTCACTTGTATCATATCATACAACCAGCCCTATCTGGGCTTATGAGACACATTTGAACATTTTAAAATAACTAGTTATTGTTTAAAAATAAAGTCTTTCCTGATCTGCATTATGTCAATTAAATACTGACCAAACATCTTAGTGTATCTTTTACTTTTAAAAATGTCACTTAAAGTCAGACTCTCTATTTCCAATTTTTCAAAGAACTCATTTCTTTTTTTCCTATATGCACTACAATCAAAAATAAAATGCTTTTCATCTTCGATTCCACCCGACTTACAAATGTTACAAAAACGCTCATTTACATTGGTATTTACAAATCTGCCAGTTTCAATATGCAAGATTATTCAAAAAGGGGTCTTAAACTTCTTCAAAAGTAGAATGGTATTGAAAGTCTAGTTTTGAAAATATCAATTTTCGATGACCAAAATTTTGCTAAAAACAATGGATAGCACGAGTTTTCCTTATGGGAAAATAACATGGGATATGTGTTTTTTAACTTTAACACATTTCAATACCAATCCCCATTTCAGAAGTTGTAAATATCTTGTAGAAGAAACTTTCGATATGGTTAAATCGAGAAAAACAAGATCCTCTTTTTAGAAAATAAGCATAACATTTTTTAAACAGTGCCCAGATGGGGTCTTAAACCATAATTTTTCAGAGAGTTGGATTGATATGTTACTATCACGGGAACTTCAATTGAAAGAAAAATTATTTTTATAAAAACCACTGTATTTATGGCCAGAAAGTACTCATGGTGAAGGATATGACCGTCTAAAATCACTTACTATACTACTCATGGACCTTTTGTGTTTTAATTCCAGCAATTGGTCTTAACCTTTTACTGGATTTTGAAAAAGCCCCAAGAGCCTTTCAAGTACTATATCATTTAAAGATAAAGGACCATATAGGAATCCAACTTACTGTTGTCGTCCATTTTGAATATCATGTGATAGATACATACATGTATAAGGCTTGTAGGACCATGTAGGGAAAGCTAAGGGGAATCCACTGATACCAAGCAATACCAAAGAATTATGGGAGCTACTCACTTCTTTGGAGATACTGGAATTCGAATTACTATTGGACTGATCAGAGTCAGATGTTTGTTCACAATCACATATTTGTCTTTGTTCCAGCATGACTAATATTACATTAGGTGAAGATGGGGAAGAGATTGAAACATTCATAGATCTAGAGGCTGACTTTGCTCCCACCCTACTCAACTCTACCATATATATCATATCCATGGGAATGCAGGTCACAACATTCGCTGTCAATTACAAGGTAAAACTTTTTCCAAGTGCTTGTTGGATTTAATGATTTTTTATGTCACCACCAAAAAGTGGTGACATATTGTTATGATCTCCGTTTTTTTGACAGTGATTAGCGGTTGGCTGTTGGCGATCGGTGTCTGTAACAAATTCTTACAACTTCCAATAACTTAACAAATACTGTTTAGATTGACTTCAACCTTTTTCAAAATCATCTACAAGTTTTCAGAAGTTCAAATCTGACTTTATATTTAAGATTTGACCTTCAATAACCATTTCAAGGTCCAAAAGGTCAAATGGTATCTTTTCAAGTTGCTTCAAATTGACCAATTTTTTTTAAAAATCATCTACAAGTTATCAGAAGTTCAAATGTGACTTTACATTTGAGAATTGACCTTTAATGACCTTCTCTCAATGTCAAAAAAGGTCAAAAAGGTATTTCTTCAACTTGCTTCCAATAACTTAACAAATACTGTTTTAACTTCAATTTTTTCAAAATCATCTACAAGTTTTCAGAAGTTCAAATCTGACCTTTTCAAGGTCAAAAAAGGTCAAAAAGGTATTTTTTCAACTTGCTTCAAATTGACCAATTTTTCTTATTCAAAATCATCTTCAAGTTATCAGAAGTTCAAATCTGACTTTAGATTTGAGATTTGACATTCAATGACCTTTTCAAGGTTTCAACTTTTTTTCAAAATCATCTACAAGTTCTCGGCTATCACCTTATATATTGCTATGTTGTAGCCAATAGAGTCAAGAGAAAATAGACCTCTTTGGTTAAAATAAGGTGTCAACAAGAAATTCAAAAAAATAAGTCAGTATTTTTATTTCATTCTTCAATATAGACTGTGCTTATTGCTATGTTGTAGGGCCATCCGTTCATGGAGAGTCTCAGAGAGAATAAGCCTTTGTTGTACAGTCTCTTCTTCTCCTTTGGGTCTGTAGCTGCGCTTGCCTCGGGTCTTGTACCTGACATAGCCAAGCAGTTTGAAATAGTTGAACTCCCATATGAGGTAAGTTACAGGGATTAAAACCTATTTTAATTGATATAGCCTTAAAAATGTTTGTGTCTTTTTTCAATTAGGGATTCTTTGTGATTTTAAAGTTTTAATTCATGTTTTAAATTATTTCATTAACATATAGACACTGAAGACAAATTGATTTGTAATACTTAAATTAGTTAAAGGTTTAAAACAATAGCACTATTTACACAACACGTTCTAAGACGTCTTGGCTAAAACGTTTTAAGAAAATTATGTTGAGTTTACCCTGTATATTTGTAAGCTTTTTGAAAGTAATAGTATATTCCAGAAAAAAAAAGTTTTATCAAAACGTACCTTCCATAAAACCTTTATTTGTTTACCTTGTGTTTATGGCTCATGTACAATGAAACCTGTCTAAGAGGAACACCTTTGGTACTGCTTAAAAGTGTTCCACTAGGGAGGTGATCCACTTATAAAGGTTCATTTCACATTAGTGAGTTTGTCTTGGAACTCTGAAAAGTGTTCCACTAAAGTGTTCTACTTCTAAAGGTGTTCCACTTTACTGGTCTCACTGTATGTATGTTTTCGTTAAATTGGATTTAGTCAGTATAATGTTAGTTCTGAATTATTCTAGTGTATAATATACCTCACTCATTCATATCAACACCTGTTAACAGAGATTTAAAAAGAACATTTTATTTCTATTTCCAGTTCCGCAACATTGTCTTGGGTGTGCTAGCCGCAAACTTGGTGGCCTGTTATGTTCTAGACAGGACTTGTCAATTCATATTTGGAAATTCAAGACTTCGGAGTTAGCATTCAGCAATATAGGAAATAATGAATTTGAAGATCTTAATATTCCTGAGGGTTATTTATTCTGCAATTGTGAATTGTGATTTAGTTTTTATTTTGTGCATGGAATTAGAAGATGGGACTCAATAGGAAGAAAAAATCTACAGCCGCTGATCTTGTCTGGAATCTGATCATAACATCATTTCTTTGGGAAAAATAACCAAAATGTTCCAGCTATATGCCTCGGTCACATTTGCTCAAATTCATCGCAGGCGCCTGGCTGATTGCAGTATTTTGTTCAAAACTGATTTCAACTTGCTTCAAAACCAAATTTTTTTAAAAATCATGTACAAGTTCTTAGAAGTTCACATCTGACCTCAAATTTGAGATTTGACCTTCACTCAATCGGCCAGGTGCCAGCTGATAATCGGAGCAATTGTGACCTAGGCAATATTGGTGTACCTCTTAATCCATCAACAATGTAATCCCCCCGATAAGAACATAAGCAAGAAGTATAAGTATGAAGTGTTATATCCGAACAATCAATAGTTATTATCCCACCAATGAAGTTTGAGAGGGATATAGGAAAGCCATCCGTCAAATTCTGGTTGATGGATTTAGTTTAAATTTTATAGGCTTATGCCTTTTAGGTGTAGCACCTCTGCTCGAGAAGGAATTTTCAATATGGCTGCTCAATTTAAAATGGCCGCAATTTTTCGTAAATTCTTTTTTATAACTCCAATACTAGTTGACGGATTTGGTTCAAATTTTATATGCTGATTCCTGAGATAAAGGAGCTACACTGAAGAAGACATTTTCAAGATGGCAGCTGATTTTCAAAATTTTGCGACCATTTTTCATAAAAAGTGTAATTCAAGTACCAGTGGATGGATTGGATCAAATTTAATATGCTGATACCTAGTGACACAGGAGATATGGTCAAAAGGAATTTTCAAGATGGCGGCTGATTATCAAAATGGCCACCACTCTTCTTAACAGAATGTAATCTTTGATAATTCAAATACCAGTTGATGGATTTGGTTCAAATTTCATATGCTGATATCTAGAGACATGGGAGCTTCACTCAAGAAGATATTTTCAAGATGGCTTCCAAATTTCAAAATGGCCACCATTTTTTGTAAAATACGTAATCTTTGATAACTCAAATATCAGTGGATGGATTTGGTTCAACTTTCAACTGATGCCTAGAGATAAGACTTTCAAGATGACAGCTGAATTTCAAAATGGCTGCCATGTTTTCGTAAAAAATATAATCTTTGATAACTCGCATATCTGTTGAAGTAATTGGTTCAAAATTTATTTGCTGATACCTCGGTACAAGGGAGCTGAAATGGCCTCTATTTATCAAAACATTTTTTGTTTGGTGGGATTTGCTACTCCGTGGAGTTGTGTGTTTTCTAGTTATCAAATGGTGAAAGGGCACAATTGATGAATTCCAACAAATAATATATTGGAATTATTGTAACAAATAAACTTGTCAGACAATTTATTAGTGGGGTATGTGAAACTATGAAGTGACTATTTTGCAATAAATCTACCATTTTATCATGTAAAATGTATGTAGTACTCTGAAACGAAAATGTTTTTATTAAAGAATATTGTTGTTTATTATACTCATAATAAAAAAGTTTCATGAAAATAAATGTTGTATTTATTTACAGTAAGTAAATATTTGTGTTTATTTGAGTTTCCTTCAGCAAGTGGCACACTATTGATTCTTAATCGCTCTTTTGACTAAAAACAAGGTATCATGGGAAAAATATATTCTACTCATTTATATACTTTTTCATATCTTAGTTATTTTTCAAAAGTAGTTTGATTCAAAAAGGTTGTTTTAGCCTTTTATTGAAAATTCATTGAAATAGCAAACCCTCTTGACTGCATTTGAATATTAGATTAAAGGTAGCCCTTGAAAGTCACATTATTTCAAATACAAAATATTATTTTTTATGTGCAGCGTATGTACTATAATATAAAAACTTGTGATGTCAAGAACATGTCTGTCCGTTCATTTGACTGCCAACAATAGGGACACATTTTGATGATAACATCTAGATGTACATGAACTGACGGGATGGGCGCATAGATTTTCCAATGAAAATGGCATTAGTGAGAGTGATGTAAATCGTATCTTATGCATTTTTATGGTACTGATATCCCATGGTTTAAAATGCGCTTTTAAAAAACGTTTGAATCACTAATTGACTATATCTATTCTTCTATCTAATCAGACTTTTGACCATTGAATAAGTATTCTTTTTCCTGTTCAAAAATGCGTTCAGTTCAATGGATTTTGATGTTTTAATGAAGCATTTATTATTGAACAGTTGCTTTTATATCAAAATCAATCCAGTACCTCCATGGAATGGCTAAAGTGTACTCTGACGTCACTTTCGATGGAATTCAGTGGTGATAAAATATCAACACATTTTTCTTTGAAATAGGTCGAAAAGTATTGGGTTTAAGCATTCAAACTATTCACTCTCCAACATTCTTAGATTGAAAGTACAATATCCCGTCCAGTACTTTTACCAGATCTACTTCTACCACGTTGCCGTCATTCAGATTTCAATAAATTTAAGGGGCCGAAAAGTGTTTAGTGCGAGCATGCAAATCTCAGTGAATTCAAGTAATTCTCATCCAACATAATAAGAGCTGGGCTGATTCATGAGATAACATATGCCGTCTGGTGCATCTTTTAACAAATAGTTGAAAGTATTGTAACAGTTTGGCCTTTTTTGTGGATATGTGGTAGTGTGGCTAATAAAAAGACCACTGTTTAGTAAACGGTGTTTACTTGTGGATTGCACGGCACACGTTAAATGTGCTTTGTCCCTAAAGAAATAAACAGAATATATAATTTTATATATATATAATACAAAACAATATATTGTGGCGTTTATAAGCCCAAATAAGATGTACATGCAATTTCAAATGTAATGTAAGAATATTACGGTGTTATTATTTCTCTTAAAACTCACAACTCAAAAGTCCATATGAGCTAATAATAATTATCACTGATAAAATAATATCCAGAGTCCATATAAACTGATGATCACTATATAACACTGTTGTATTCCGAATATGCAAAGTTCATGTAAATTGTACCACTTGTACGTCTTGTATTGTTATTGTATCTTGAACCTGGAATAGTAAGCTGAGCGTAACAAAGTCTTGTCTCCTAATTTTGGGAAGCAACTTTACACAAAATTCATAGTACTCATGCTGAAGCTTGGTGTGGATTTTAAAGCAGGGGTTGGCGTAGGGGGTATTGGAACTGCTGGAACAGGCGCTTCTTCGTCTTGAATCTTAATACACACCTGGGAGCATATGACTAACATCAAACATAAAAGTACAAATAAAATTCCACCCACGACCAAGATGATGAAGGGGATATCCAGTTCCATCCACTGTAAACTCAGCAACTGTCTTGTGTCTTGCTTCCAATGAAAATACTAATTCTCTTCACGTTGTTGTAGTATCCTCCACTGTGTTGTAGGATAATTCACCTTTAATTATATGAAATAATCAAAGTCAAACTATCGGCTCTGTAAATGGCTATCTCCTGGATCCTCTTCACTGTGTTGTAGGATAATTCAACTTTAATTATATGAAATAATCAAAGTCAAACTATCGGCTCTGTAAATGGCTATCTCCTGGATCCTCCTCACTGTGTTGTAGGTTAATTCAACTTTAATTATATGAAATAATCAAAGTCAAACTATCGGCTCTGTAAATGGCTATCTCTTGGATCCTCCTCACTGTGTTGTAGGATAATTCAACTTTAATTATATGAAATAATCAAAGTCAAACTATCGGCTCTGTAAATGGCTATCTCCTGGATCCTCCTCACTGTGTTGTAGGATAATTCAACTTTAATTATATGAAATAATCAAAGTCAAACTATCGGCTCTGTAAATGGCTATCTCTTGGATCCTCTTCACTGTGTTGTAGGATAATTCAACTTTAATTATATGAAATAATCAAAGTCAAACTATCGGCTCTGTAAATGGCTATCTCTTGGATCCTCTTCACTGTGTTGTAGGATAATTCAACTTTAATTATATGAAATAATCAAAGTCAAACTATCGGCTCTGTAAATGGCTATCTCTTGGATCCTCCTCACTGTGTTGTAGGATAATTCAACTTTAATTATATGAAATAATCAAAGTCAAACTATCGGCTCTGTAAATGGCTATCTCCTGGATCCTCCTCACTGTGTTGTAGGATAATTCAACTTTAATTATATGAAATAATCAAAGTCAAACTATCGGCTCTGTAAATGGCTATCTCTTGGATCCTCTTCACTGTGTTGTAGGTTAATTCAACTTTAATTATATGAAATAATCAAAGTCAAACTATCGGCTCTGTAAATGGCTATCTCTTGGATCCTCCTCACTGTGTTGTAGGATAATTCAACTTTAATTATATGAAATAATCAAAGTCAAACTATCGGCTCTGTAAATGGCTATCTCTTGGATCCTCCTCACTGTGTTGTAGGATAATTCAACTTTAATTATATGAAATAATCAAAGTCAAACTATCGGCTCTGTAAATGGCTATCTCTTGGATCCTCCTCACTGTGTTGTAGGATAATTCAACTTTAATTATATGAAATAATCAAAGTCAAACTATCGGCTCTGTAAATGGCTATCTCCTGGATCCTCCTCACTGTGTTGTAGGATAATTCAACTTTAATTATATGAAATAATCAAAGTCAAACTATCGGCTCTGTAAATGGCTATCTCCTGGATCCTCCTCACTGTGTTGTAGGTTAATTCAACTTTAATTATATGAAATAATCAAAGTCAAACTATCGGCTCTGTAAATGGCTATCTCTTGGATCCTCTTCACTGTGTTGTAGGTTAATTCAACTTTAATTATATGAAATAATCAAAGTCAAACTATCGGCTCTGTAAATGGCTATCTCTTGGATCCTCCTCACTGTGTTGTAGGATAATTCAACTTTAATTATATGAAATAATCAAAGTCAAACTATCGGCTCTGTAAATGGCTATCTCTTGGATCCTCCTCACTGTGTTGTAGGATAATTCAACTTTAATTATATGAAATAATCAAAGTCAAACTATCGGCTCTGTAAATGGCTATCTCTTGGATCCTCCTCACTGTGTTGTAGGATAATTCAACTTTAATTATATGAAATAATCAAAGTCAAACTATCGGCTCTGTAAATGGCTATCTCTTGGATCCTCCTCACTGTGTTGTAGGATAATTCAACTTTAATTATATGAAATAATCAAAGTCAAACTATCGGCTCTGTAAATGGCTATCTCTTGGATCCTCGTCACTGTGTTGTAGGATAATTCAACTTTGATTATATGAAATAATCAAAGTCAAACTATCGGCTCTGTAAATGGC